AAAAACTGGAGATCTCTTAACTGACAGAAAGATAGATTAATGGTGACAAGACAGAGACTTAAAATAAAAAGCATCAGACGTTCATGTTTTTAAAAATGCATCAATGTTCGCTCCCACTGAAAAGCTCTTTGAAACAGTGTATGTCACATTGTGTGCATGTACGCACGCGGATGGTGAACCATGAACCATTTATATTTTCTGATGTGTGGTAGGTGGTTTGTGAATGTATACAAAATTCAATACACCAGCAATGCTTCAATTCTCTTTACCTTAGGATATTTGCAGCTTCACTCTGTCTAAATTCAAGGACACCATAGTTTTAGGTGAAATGAATGGCTTTGTTTTCAAGTGTCCATGGTAACAGTTAATTAAACGTCATTCCACACTAGCACAGCTGGATCTACACACCAGTGTTATGTAGAATCACAGTAAAAATAATAATAAAAAAAGAAGTGTAAAAATGGTGGGAATTTTAATTTATATTGTTTTTACTGAATTGGATAAGGAGAATAATTGATTTTTCATTATGTGACATATCAATGAGCTGATCAAGGCAAAATTGGACCATTCCAATTTCTAAGGAAGCCTGCACAGATTCCACTAATATATCATCACTGCAGTGTTTGTGCATTGTTTTCTTTACAAAGAACTGGAATGCAATGTATTTTTTGGTTATTATATTCCACATTTTACACCATGCATGCCAACCTAACAGGTGCTTCAAAAGGCATTTTGTTTTTAAATGTTTCTGTCCAAATGTTGCCGTACACCACAGTTGCTGCTAAATTGAAGGGCTGTTTCAGTGTGTGGACTGCATTAGGCATCTTTGGTTAAAAATAGTACACATTTAGACCAGTCACACCATGTGCACCACTCTTCATTTTTAACACTTTCTTGGCAGTAGGGTCACTGTAGATTGAAGGCATGTTTTGTTTGTACTTGTAAGTCATATTTTATGCATCTGTGTACCAGGAGTCACCAACATGGTGGCCTAGGAGATCATACGAGTAC